AAGAACAAAAACCTTTCAGCTGATTATTTTTGACTGTAGCAGATGCGGGTGTGCATATGCATGTGTGCTCGCAATTCAGAGCACATGTGTGATAGAAAGAGAGAGCAGCTCATTAAAATCCCTCGGGGATTCCCAAGAATCTCAGTTCTTGGCACTGGGATCCCTGATTATTCGGTTACCACTCCAGCGTGTTGAGAAGGGAGGAATCCTAGGGATGATCATCAAGTGAGGTAGGCCAGAGTAAAAAAACCCAGGATTCACGTTGCTGGGGTTCCTCTGCTGTTCTCTAGCCAGTATTCAGAGCTCTGCCATCAACTCAGGGAACAGCCCCCCCCAGATAGGCTGGAGTGGGAGCGGAGGTAGGAATTTGAGTTATTTCAGTTATGCTCCTTCATGCTGGGTTAACGTGAAGCGATTCGGCCGGGAAGTGTCGGCGTCACAGCGATGGGAATCGCGGCCTGGAGGTGAAGCGTGACAGGTTCATAGCCAGAACCCTCCGGAACAAAAAAAGGAAGGTCCAGAATCAAATCTGCAGCCATGGAGGTCGAGGCACCAACCCCGCCCCCAGCCCCTCCCCCTGCACCACCCACGGAGACCCCACCCACAAAAAATCCATTTGAATTAATGGATCGGCAGAAACTCATCGCTACATCCAATACTCCCCCTGACCCCAAAACGCTTCGTAGGGAAATCACGCAGCTTGAAGGGATTAAAGAATGATACACAGACCACCGGGATGCAGTCACGGACAAAGTATGCAAATAAAAAAAACATTACTGAAGGCAAAACAGCAGAATTTGATATTCGCTGCATGGGAGCGGAGCGGGGGGACATGAATCCAGAGAAAACACAGGCTTGTGCAGTCGGCGACACACACAGCTGAACACTAACACAGCTCCAGTCTCATGGCACATTATGAGATCCAAGCCCTTCATTATGAGATCCAAGCCCTTCACCAGAGCTACTTCTAAAGCTTTTTCAGTGTAAGGCCTTGCCGGGACTTTGTAATTAATGCATCACATTCTTAGAGAACAGGGAGGGGTACACCAGAAAACTTTCACCAAATTATGTCTCCCCCTACCGCCCAAAGCAAACCCAGGGAGGCAGCAAATTTCAGCCTGAACAAATCATTTTTGGTTCCCCACCCCCCAGAGAATTATGCCACTGGGGGGGCCAAAGGCCAGAACACAGAACATGGGTTCTACAACCAGCGGCTGCAAATCTCACCAGCCACTCTGTTACACATCCCCATTTATATCCCATCCTGGCCAAATCGAGTTTCACTTCACTAAAACACGCCGGCAAGCTCCTTTCAGAAAATCGCCACGACTTCTCAGATAATCTCCAGAGGTCCCGGTTTTATTTCCCACGCTTCCAGAGAAACAATGATCTGCTTCATTTAGCGTAACTGCTGAGGGTTTCAAGAGCACATATCCGGAGCGTCCAGGAGGAGGGCGTTCTTACACTGGAGACAGAAGGAAGAGAAGAAGTCGGAAATAAAAGGCAGCCGATGATACGGACATGCATTCTGCTGCTGGTCGAGTGACCTGTGGTAACTGGGGTGACACGCAGTGACAGGCGCTGATGACAGACAGGGTACAATAACGTGATTAACAAAGTGGCCCTCCTCTGTCCGGATTACATGCGCGTGAAGTCACAGGTGTCAAGCTCCGAGAGAGGGACCCGATCTCAGAGAGACGCCTGCAGACCGCACCATCCCGCGGGGAGATGGGTGAATGGGGCAGGCGAGGACCCAGAGACTGGCAAGTTAGGGTCGGGAGGCCCAGGCGTGGACCCAAAACGGCATGACTAATGGAGTATTTACATCAGCAAGGGATGCCTGAACTGGGTGGTACCTCGATTCTCGAACTCACTAGAACTCGAATTTCTTGAAAGTCGAACAAATCAGTTTGACCTAGAACTCGATCTGAATATCAGAAGTCGAACCGTGAACGCTGACCTAATATAAATTGTACG